GGCAGCTCCTGGCCAGTGGCAGAGTGCCTAGGAAGGGACTCAGAGTGTGCATCTGCAGGCAATGCCCTGGGCAGTCTGGAGGCAGGAGCGTCCGGACTGAAGTAGAGATCTGAGTGGCCCGCCTCAGCATCTACTACAAGAACTGTTCGTAGGGTAGCTTGCCAAAATTATTGCCAGTGGGCCTCATGAAGCTAGCATCTGGTCTCTTGCCCTTCTGGAGCTCCATATTTCTTAAAATGTGTAACTTCCTTTTGAGTATTGGTTTCTTTTTCCTGCTCAACCAGCAGTAGCTATAGGAAAGGGACTTGACCTCTTTTGGACTGATGATCATTTTGGACTTTAGATGTCTTAATTCTAAAAGAGCATTTTTTTTTTTTTTTTTTTTAAGTTTGGCTGCATAATCCTGGAGTTTACATTATTAGAATTCAGTGCTTTGGAACAGTGGTTGTCTTCCATATCTCATCAGTGACCCAGAGCCGGCACAGCCCGAGCATTCCCAGTAAAACCAGGGGGACATTTCTGATCATCTGCTGGTGTGGGCCGCCTGATGGACCACCTCTTTTCATCCACTATGAACGTGAGCAAAGCCTTCTGTAGTCATTACTGTGGTATGGCCTTTGGACACGGATTATTTTTTAAAAGTCCTTTTGGAAAGGCCTCTTGCTGACGGATGCTTCCAGTGCTCTTACTCCTGGATGACTTAGCTTCCACTGTCATCTACTTACAGTGCGACAAGGAGAGACAGCTTTTTCCTTGGTGTAAACACAAAGCGAGTTTAGGAGTGACGTGGAATGAGGGTCAAATCTATAAATACTTGTTGAAGGCAGAGAACTTGAGTGCCACTTAAGAAAATAGTGACAGAAACAGTCATTCATTGCATGGTTAGTCCTGGTGCTTGTGCCAAGCCTTTCCATGTCTTACTCTATTTCATTGTCACAACTGCTGTATGAAATGGGTATGTTTGTATCTTTGTTTTACCAGTGAGGAAGCTGAGACCCAGGTACATGTGACATGGGTCTCAAGGCAGGTGGAATGGCTGAACTGGGATCATCAGTATAAGTGTGTGCTCTAAACCTCTCTGCTGGGCTGCATGCCAGAGACCGTGGTGGTTGGGACCCAGGAGGATGGGGACAGGGTTGGAGATGTGCTAAGGTAGCGAGTGGCACTGTCTTCCAGGATGGAGATGGAGCATGGCCAAACCAGGATAGGTGAAAGAGAGAAGGCTCCTGCCACCAGGAGAGTGAGTTTCTGTACTAGAAAAACCAAAAACAGATGGTGATTTCTCGTGCCTTGTTACTATAGTGTCAAGCCCAGAAACCAGTTAATAGTCCTAAGTGGGACTGACTTCAGAAAGCAAATGCCTGGCAAGTCTCCAACATGCCATGAAGTCTCTGAGCTATGACTTCAGTTTGAATGGGTGCAGGCTCTTCTAAGCCTTTGTCCCAGTTTTATGAGGATAGGGAACATTTCACTCAAGTTCTCTCTCTCTCTCTTTCTCTCTTAAAGCTAGGCAGTAGACTTCTCCACTTCACCAGTCACAATACTCCAAAAGAGAAAGCAGAAGGAAGTCCAGGGTTACAAGTGTGTGCTGCTCTAGAGTGTTGTGTGGTAGAGTCTTCATTGTCTCTGGGTCGGGAAAGAAGGTACTGTTACTCTTGAGTAGTGAAGCCAATCCGTTGTGACAGGGGGACCTAGCCTGACTTTAGAACAATGACTTTTCATTATTTTTTTGGGCAGGGATCCCTTTACTATCATATTACACTTGCAGATATTTTCCTGTATGGCCAGCATTTCTCTCCTGATTTAACATTCTGTTCCTTTGTAGCCCACAGAGAACTGTCAACTCGTACTCCTTTTTCCTCTCTTGTTAGCCTTCATCGAGTTGGCTCTGACTCAGAGTGACCCAGGGTACTACAGAATGAAACACTGTGTGGTCCTGTGCCGTCCTTGCAATCCCTGCTGTGTGTGAGCCCATTGTTGAAGGCACTGTGTTCATCTCATTGAGGGTCTTCCTCTGCTTCACTAGCCCTCTACTTTACCAAGCATGATGTCCTTCTCCAGGGAGTGGTCCCTCCTGAGAACATGTCCAAAGTGAGGAAGACAAAGTCTCACCATCCTTGTTTCTAAGGATCATTCTGGCTGTACTTTGTCTAAGAAAGATTTCTGTGTTCTTCTGGCAGTCCATGGCATGTTAAGTATTCTTTGCCCATCACTATAATTCAAGGGCATCAATTCTTCAGTCTTCCTTATTCATCATCCAGCTTTCACGTGTATATGAGGTGATTGAAAATAGCACAGGGTGGGTCAGGTGCACCTTAGTCCTCATAGTGACATCTTTGCTTTTCAACACTTCAAGAGGTGCTTTGCAACAGGTTTGCCCAATGCAATAATTGTTTGATTTCTTGACTGCTGCTTCCATGAGTGTTGATTGTGGATCCAAGTAAAATTAAATCTTTGACAACTTCTATCCTTTCTCCATTTATCATGATGTTGCTTATTGGTCCAGTTGTGAGGATTTTTTTTCCCTTTATGTTGAGGTGTAATCCATACTGAAGAATGTAGTAGTCTTTGATCTTCATCAATAAATGCTTCAAGTCCTCTTTCAGCAAGCAAGGTGGTGTCTCTGCATATTGCAGGTTGTTAATGGGTCTTCCTCCAGAATTGTGGTGTTCTTCATATAGTCCAGCTTTTTGGATTGTTTGCTCACCATACAGATTGAATAAGTATGGTGAAAGGATACAACCCTGATGCACACCTTTCCTGATTTTATACCATGCAGTATCCTCTTGTTCTGTGTGAACAACAGCCTTCTGGGCTATGTACAGGTTCTTGATAAGCACAATCAAGTGTTCTGGAATTCCCATTCTTCTCAATGTTACCTGTAATTTGTTACGATCCACACAATCAAATGTCTTTGCATAGTCAGTAGAACATAGGTAAACCTCTTTCTGGAATTCTCTGTTTTCATCTGAGATTATCCGACATCAGCATTGGTATCCCTCTGCATCTTCTTCTGAATCTGGCTTGAATTTCTTGCAGTTCCTTGTTGATGTATTCCTTCCTATACATTGTTTTTGAATTATTTTCAAAATTTTACTTGCATGTGATACTACCAACATAACTCAATATTATGTCCACATTCTCTTGGGTCATCTCTCTTTGGAATGGGCACACATACGGATCTCTTCAAGTTGTTTGGCCAGGTAGTTGTCTTCCAGATTTCATGGCATGGATGAGTGAGTGCTTTCAGCATTGTATCCATTTGTTGAAACATATCAATTGGTATTCTGTTGATTCCTGGAGGCTTGTTTTTCATCACCACTGTCAGTTTATTATACTGTGGTGGCTTGTGTGTTGCTGGGATACTGGAAGTTCTGCCTGCCAGTATTTGAAATACTTGTAAGATCCCCCGCTCTGGACAAGTTTCAGTGGAAGAAGAGGCTAGGAACAAGGACCTGGCTCTACTAAGCTAAGACTGGGAAGCTAAGATTAGGAAGAAGGACCTGGTTATCTACTTCTAAAAAAACTGGCCACTGAAAACATCACGAATAGCAGCAGAACATAGCGATACCTTACCGGAAGATGAGCCCCTCAGGTTGGAAGGCACTCAAAGTGCGACTTTTTCCTCTAGAGATTTCTTTTTGACCTGACACTTCACCTTGCACTGTTTTTGCAATCAGATGCCACATAACCTTCTTATGCCTAGGGATATCTGTTCACCCTGAGACTCCTTTATGAACAAAAATGTGATTCTAGACAGATCTTCACTCTGGTGTTTGGTGGGGTCTAAGTCAGTCCTCACACTCACTTTAAAATTCTGAGATTTCTCCCTGTTTTGAGAATGCAGCCTTGCAGCATTCAAGACGCTTGTACCTGAGAGGGAATCAACAGTTTGCTTGCTGCCAGTAAGTCACGGATGTCAGTTGACACTGATTAAATAGAAATCGGGACAGAGAGCAGAGCTTTCCTGAGTCCTAGAGAAGTACACCCCAAGCAAGCTTTGCCAGGTGGTTTTGGGGACAGGCAGAGGGGCACAGAGACACATTGGCTTTTTTCTGTTTCACACTCATATTGTTTTGTGCTCCCAGGATCGTCATGACAGCCTTATCTCAAATAAAGCCTGTTACCTCATCTCTAATTGCTTATCCAAAGGCAGGCGAGCTCCAATTTCTCTGCATTAATAAATGACACTGAAGACGCGGAGCTCTGTTTGCGCTGGCTCGCTCAGGGGAAGCAGAGTGACCCCCTGAGAGCATGAGGAAACCTCCCACTTCTCCAGTGGCCAAGGAGAGCGGTACTCATCTCCATCACGAACGGCCTCTCGTTTATTTACTTATTACTCATGCCCTATTCTCCTTTCCTGCTGAGTTTTTCTCCATCTGTGGGAACTTGCTCACCTTCAAGTTAAGGGGAGTAGCAGTTGTCCTCGGAGAAGGGGTGGCCTCCCTGATTTCAGGGCTCACTGTCTTGACCACCTGCTGCTCCTCTCTCCTTAGAAGTCAAGAGGTGCTCCATGAACCTTTGCACTGATGTTTGTGGTGTCCTTCAGACTGTGGGCACAGTGGTTAAACACTCAGCTGCTAACCCAAAGGTTGACAGTTCAAACCAGCCAGCCTCTCTGTGAGAGGAAGATGTGGCAGTCTGCTTCCGTAGAAATTATAGCCTGGAAAAACCTTCTCAGTGTTACAGGTGACCATGAGTCCAAATCAACTTGTTGGGGGCGGGTTACCCAGATTGTCATAGGGCCCCAGCTTTTCCTTTTCAAGGCTTATGGGAAGTGGTCTTCTGTATTTCATAAATGAATATGAGCAGGGCATTGGTTCTGTGTTTGTTTTGACTGTGCTCTGTAAAGTAGAACAGTGCTTCTCCTGGGAAGCTGTGTGATCGCTCTTGTCACCTAAGAATATCGCGAATACCTCTGGTAATTTAGAGGGCCTTTGATAGGAGTTATTGCCATCCGACAGACTCATAAGGTTGTTTCCTTTCTCTTTTTTCCTCAGAATGAAATGGATGATGTGCCTTTCTTTGATGTCCAACTGCCTTACGAATTGGCAATTAATATATTTCAGTACCTGGACAGAAAAGATCTTGGAAGGTGTGCACAGGTAAGCTGTCAGTAACCGGTGTCCAGATTTGCCTAAAAGCAGTGGTTAAAGTATAAGAAGCACCTGGGTAGCAGACATGAACAGAATTACAGATGGTAAAGCATTAATGACTTGGATAACAACTTCACTGGAAGGAGCGTGACCCCGAACTTAAAGCGTCATATCCCATATCACCACTTGATATTCATTGCTTTGTGACTGCCCCTGCAGTTCTGGCTGACCTGTGGCAGCGTGCCCAACTCTGACGACAGTGCTGGGTCTTCACGAAGCTGCCTGTGCTGCTCATGAGAGCTGCTACCCACTGGCTCAGGCGAGGCTGTGCTCAGCTCTGTGGCTGAGGTTCAGCGCATAGAACACTGAAGTCATGCTTCAGGCGGAGGGTCCACATTACCCTGTAATTGCCCAAATCCCACTCAGTAAAGTACAAGGCATATGAGAACTGGGACCCCACTGAGGGAACTGCTGATCAGTGTCACCCGTCTCACACCTGCTTGGAAGCACGTACCCATGGAGGGGTCTCATGGAAGTTTTCATGGTGGATCTTGATAAAATGCAAATTTGGAGTCAGGAGGTTTAGGGTAGGGCCAAAGAGTCCTGCTGGTGCAGTGGTTGGCGTTCTAGGCTGCTAACCAAAAAGTTAGTGATTCGAAGCCACCAGCCACTCTGCCAGATACAGATGTGGCAGTCTGCTCCCGTAAAGGTTTCAGCCTTGAAAATCCTATGGGGCAATTCTGATCTGTAAAGTTTGGTATTTTAGTTTGGAGTAAGGCATGAAGGAGCTTTGGTGGCATAGTGGATATGGCACCTGACTGTTAACCAGAAGGTCAGTAGTTCAAACTCACGAGCTGCTCTGTGGAAGGAAGATGGGGTGATCTAAAATAAAGATTTACAGCCTCAGAAACCCTGTGGAGGTCACTATGAGTTGGAAATGACTTAATGGCAGTGGGTTTGGGTTTTTAGTTTGGAGGGCATGAAAATTCTACCTTTCCAGCCAGCTCCCAGGTGATGCTGGTGTGGCCAGGGCCACACTTTCAGAGGCAAGCGTTTATGCCATCAAAATTGTTCTTTTGATTTCTGTTCTGGCCATGAGTTGATAATTGATTTTTCCTAAGTGTTACGATTTGCTTAACTTTTGGCTTTTGATGAACAGCTGTGTTCCCCATAAGACACTGAAGTACCCATTTGCCATAACTGCTAAAGAATTAAATTGTCTAGTGGTCACCATCTCCCATCCCTGGATTCTGTTTGCCTTTACATACCTTCAAGAGAAAGCATTCAGTAAAACTGAGTGATAGGACAACTATATATACTAAGGCCTAAAACACCACCAAGAATGTGAAGTTAAAAATGTTAAGGCAGTTTGAAGGTAGTGAAAACTTTAGCCAGATGTCGAGTTGAGAGCTTGCTGTTTGCAGGGCAATTGAGAGGGTTTCTGGTGTTGTCCTAGCTCTTTATGAAGCATTCTGCTTAATCAAAGTTATTTTTCTACTTAAACGTAAATTGGAAAAGTTTTTTGGTATTATATTCTTGGTTGTATCTCAGGCCAGGGCCTGAGATAGG